ATATATATATATATATATATATATATATATATATATTCTTGCTAGTAGAAAAACGCGCTTAAAAAATACAAACTTTGACAGAATTCCGTTGGGTAGAGAATTGAGATGCAAGTTTTCGCATCGTTTATTAAGGAGAGGGGGGGGGGTACTTTAAAGAAGTCCATCCTTAAGCAAGAAGGTAGATGCACGATCCCAAGGCCGATCCGAATAAGCCAATAGAAATTGCGACAATACAGCTCAAGCAAATGTACTGCCTTCGACGAATGCGTTTATTCAAAATAGTCTGATCATCATCCCGAGTTTTTTCCTCATACCCTGGAGAACCTCTTCCCATTCGCTTCTTTCGCATAGTTTTCATTAATCGAACATTCTGCCAAAGTCGTCGAAGTCTAAGTAATTTTGAATTAGTAAACCAGAATTGGGAATGAAAAGGAATTCGTTGAATCTCCTGCACCACTCTGATTTCTTCCTCATCACTTTGATTGTCTAAATCCTCATCCATCTCGTTGAAATATTCAAAATCTCCATAGGTATCATCTGGATTTGTATTATTGTGGGAAGATTGTTTCCTTCGTCGTCTAAATGGATGTATGGGGACAGTGGCTTCAATCTCCCCAATCATTCCATGAAGAGCTTGAATATCATCCATTAATTTCTCAAAACACTCTGAATCGGTTTCTGCAATGCGTTTCTTCTGTTCACCATATGATGAGGAAGATGGCGGAGGGCTGAATTTCTTCAAGGAACGAAGTTTAGAACCCGACTGTGGTGTGCAGGTTGGAACATTTTTATGATAAAACAAGGAGAAGGTCTTATTTCTTCTCGAACTACTAGAAGGTTGCGGTTCTTGAATTGCTGCGGACATACTGGAAGAATTGGGTTTATGGTCATTGGAATAATTGTCATGTTCGCCACTTTGGCCACAACTAGTTCTCGAGGCCAAATCCAACTCAATTCCCGAAAGGGAGTCGTTTGCAAAGGTGTTCTGATCATCTCGGTTGCGCCCGTTTCGCGGTTGGCTCTTTTTCTTCATCGGCTTTTCGACTTCTGCCAGACCTGAATAGATAAAATTATGCGGTGGAGCAACGAAAGAACTAGTAAGAGGGCTGCCAATATTGAGGGAAAAGCACTGGAATAACTGAGCAGTTCTCAGCAATTGGCTAATGAAAAACTCGAGGCATGTGCAGTGGAGAAAGAATAGATGGTAATAATCCTCCAAATTTGATTTCCTACTTCCACGACGATAAGAGGAATATATATTCCTTGAGGCAGATGGAGGGCGTAGAAGAGATACTTTAACACTTTCAACAATTGGTAAAAGAACTTCCTGACATTTTCGAGCATAGTACATGTTCCTACGGCGAACCTCCTCCGACTTGGCACGCAATTTTCGACAGTCACATCTTGTACCTAGACGGGAAATTAGCGTTGAGTAGAGAGCAATGTAGTGAGAGAAAGATAAAATCCAACCATGGATAATAATGGGAGGAGGAGCTGAGCTAAGTTTTGACGTCAAGCCACGACGCCAAAATGAATTAGAACGGACAATCTGGTCATCTGGTAATACCCTCAACTGAACCTCCTCCTCATCTCGATTTGTTTCTACGGCTTCCTGCGGATTTTCAGGATCTAAATTTGACATCCTGTGCAGTGGGAATTTTTCATTTTTGTATGCGGGTAATAATCCACGTGAAGATCTCTAAGGCTTTTGTGCTGCTTTGCGATTGGAATGTAAGAGGGGAAAGGAGTGAGAGAGATGCCCCACGCTGAAACTCCGCGAAGACGTAGCGCATATACGCTTGACCACACGTGCGCACACATGAGGATGGGATGTACGCACTTGCAACTCTCGCCTGCCTCCAATCAATGACCACATAGGCGCCTGTCCGTCTCACCACTAACAGTCACCCAATCAGGCATTAGTAAATGGCATTTGCGCACAGTCCTATATATTCTATTATGTGACGCAATTATTGTGTATTCGAGCTACAGCTTAGTGTATTGGCAATCGTAAGTTAGGGGGAGAGGTGAGGGGCCGCACGTAGAGCTCCAACGTCGACGTGAACGCTCACTCCGCGAAATGAGTTTATTACGCGTGGTTGATGAGCGGTTAGTTCCCTCTGCTACTCTGTGCTCTCTGTGATTAGCCAGCCTTTCACCCTACGCTGTAGCGTATGTGGACACATGGGTTAGTAGGAATAAGAATGGCAGTAACCCAACCAATCTGAGATGCAAATCGCATTGGGTGTTCGTAAGAAATTTGACACTCTTCCCAATCAGCAAACTCTGCCAATGGTAGATCAAAATCTGTGAGAGTCTAAATTTTGGCTTTTATTTTTATTTTTGGACCGCAGAAGAGCATCCATAAGCCGGATAGATAGGTTTGTGATGTGGATCTATTGTTATGTAAACAAGTTTTATTTTCCTTCATATGAAACCACTTAACTTCTTCCTTGAGGATAAATATATTGATTGTATCGTGATATCTGAAGTATTTCAAATTTCTATTCGGTCGGATACAGAGTGCAGGGGTGAAATCGTAAGAATGTTTTTTTCAAGCGTTTGAAATGGCATCATGGCGGCTTTTAATGAACGGAATACACTGATCGTTTTGTAGACGCACAAAAATATGTGTGCTTTCCACGTTTATCAAGCAAGAATAGCGCGTTGGACTCAGGATAACGAAAATGCAGACAAGTATAACCTTCGCGCCTTGGAGCTCACACACACACAGACGCCTATCTAAAATGATCATACGACCTTTATCTAGGGAATGGTTGATATTTAGGGTGGCTGGTGGGGAGAACATCTGGCATTAGACGACGATGCTGGCTCAATTTACATCGCAAGACATTTGCCCTATTTTTTTCAAAATAACTCTCAAGTTCTAAAATTCTGTAAATTATTGAATAATCAGCTATTTATGTGAATACGAGTTTTTGCTTTCAAAACATAGGCGTTAGGAAAAGGGAGTAACACAATAGACCAATTTTTCTATTTCAATTAGAGCAACAAGAATCCTGAACACGGTGATGCGATGAATCACCACAATACGAGTTTTTCGTTCAAATTACTACGCCGTCTAATTAAGGAGATATAGCTTAGGAAGTAGGAAAAAACGGAATTGGTTCAAAGAGTATGAACGTTTACTTCACCATCACTCAACGTAAAAGAATATGCATTCATCTTTGCGATTTATTCAAAAGGGAATTATAGTGAATTTGAAGTCAACAATGAGCATAATATTTTTCGTTTGTGCAAAAATGCGGTTCAGCAAGTTCTCATTTATAGTTATTTATTTATTTATATCAAATGGCAGGCGTTTTGATAGCTGTCACTAGCCCTTTTGGCTGAATTCGAGCTTCACAGTGGAAAGGTCCATCAAAGTAACAGAAAGTCGATGAGTGGGGAACGGAAGAGCGATTCACAGATGTAAAAGAGACAGACACAAAGGCAGAGAAAAGATAAGATGAGTACTGTGGAAGTTGGCGAGTATGCTATACAGTGGGGTCTTGGTAGTTTGAAGTTTGAAGTCAACTGCCAGTTAATAGACATTTTGCCGTAAGAGTACACGTTGCCCGGAGTGCACCATGTGGAAGTTAGTCTATCGCACGCCCCCTCATTCATAGTTATGCATAAGGAATACTGATCGTCTTAATATTGTTTAAGCATTAATTTCGTATTAGTGACTAACCTTTTCGTGCTTTTATTGTTGTAGATAAATGAGGTGTTGCTTAGCTCAAAGTAATTACAATTGATCATGTTGATCAAACTTCC